GGGGGAGGAGTTTGCAAATAGCTCTGCACAGACCAAGGGAGCAAGCATTAAGTAGGGCAGGTGAATTTGGAAAGTAGATAAAGGACACAGGAAACCCTGGTCGGTGTAGCTGCGATCAGGGTGTAGGTGGAAAGGGTCCTTAACAAACCCTTTTTTTCGTTAGGAAAGAGCTATCCTAGGGAGTTACTCAGGTTTGTGTCAGGTAAAAGATCAGTTTTGGTTATCTTTAAACACTTCCGTAACAAAGGTCAGGAAATCCTGCTTCGTTATTGTCCCAAAGGTGCTTTTTTCAAGAGGCTTTGTTATGGTTGCATTTGTTATTTTATTTTACAAAGCTGCTCCAAGTGCAACCTATTCTGAGTGACATAGGATTCCTGAGAATGTGCCTGAGAAATTAATATTTACACTTGACTTCTCCAGTGTGTAATTCTTCAGATGCGTGGGACGCAAACCCTTAACATTTCCAACCAAGGTGGCAGGTGGAATACATTTGGAGGGCACTACATCAGAGAAGGCTGATCTGCACAATTGTCAAAGCAGGCCTGACTAACACAGAGTGTCTGGAACTGATGCAGCATTTGCATTTAGTTCCAAAGGGCTCAAAGTGCATCTGCTGGTTGAATAATGAGATGAAGTATGTAATTCTATTAATAGTAGTATTTGGTCAGCTGCCTATGGTGCACAACTGGTATGGCAAGTTTTGGCACACAGGAGCATGGTGTGCGTGACTGACTGCTATAGAGCCACAGCATTACCGATAGCTTCTAAAGGCCTATTGATGCTACTTTTCTCATAGTGCCCAAGAGAATCAAATAAATAATCTAAGGCCCAGGAAGACAGTATCTAGTCATAACTAGTCAAACTAGATTCATCAATAGGCAGAGGAAATTGAGGAAATAAATATGAGTCACACCATTCACAAAGCAAAAATGAACGCAGCAATGGGACAGTTATCTAGAGCCTCTTTTGCCTACCAGCGATGCCTCAGTAAAAAACTAGCTAATAATTTTGGAAATTTTGATACCGTATTGGTATCAGTAGAAATGATAGGAGTCCAGCAAATCAGACTTGGGAGTGTTGAATATTTGATAATGGAGGAATGCTCCAGGAACCTTGATTTGTTGGACAGTGCTGCCTATAATTCCATTATTTAAAAAAAAGTATAATTAAAGGAATGCAACTCATCTGCACTTTTGGGATTCATACATGAATGCAAATATGCAATGTGCCCTGAATGTTTTGAGTGCAATGGAAGAATGGGAGATAAATAATACTTATAGTCTGAGATGGCTCACAGTACTGATGATGATATACAATAGCCTTAAATAAAATGTATACCAAGAAAAACCACTTTTGATTGTTCAGAGATGAACCTCAGCAAATAATCAAAGTTTGTGGATTTGTATCTTTCCTGTATTGTTAAATTATTATAAAATTCTCTCCCAAAGAACCATTGCACTAACAATATTTGAAGACATTTCAACAGAACAGGGAATGAGTATCTCTTCCATCAATGAGACCATTTATAAGACATCTAATGGGCTACAGGTCTCTTCCTGACCTACAATTCAGCAGATAAATGTACTATACCTGATACTTTAGGAAAGGCTATTCTTCTTCCAACAATATATATGATTAGAATGTCATTTGTTTCAGTGGTATACCCTTCTCCAAATTAGGACTGATAAAAGGATTACCTGTATATTTAAACTGAATATATACACGTTTAAAGAAAAAGGTTTCCCCTGCCCAGTTGTTTCCAACTCTAGGGGACCAGTGCCCATCTCTGTTTCCTAACTCAGGGAGCATTATCCAAGGATGGTTCCGTGGTCATGTGGCCAGCATGGCTACAGGCCAAGATTCATGGAATACTGCTACCTTTCCATTAAAGTGGTACCTATATATCTACTTGCATTTTCATGCTTTTGAACTGCTAGGTTGGCAGAAGCTGGGCCAAGAATGGGAGTTCACTCCATCATGTGGTGTTTGGGTGGTCTCAAACTGCCAGCCTTCTGGTCAACAAGCCCAACATCTGGACTGCTAGGGCACTACGCCTCCTATATACACATTTAAAACCTGTTCAGTTCACTCACAGAATCAGTGGTCTTCTCTACATGGTTACATAATTGCTCGGCTCCACCAAAAAATCCACAGTAGAAATGACTTAACCGCTAGTTAAGAATTATTTTGTTTGTTGGTGTACATCTTAGATCAGGGGTGGGCAAACTTTTTGGCTTGGGGGCCGCATTGACTTTTAAAATTTGACAGACGGGCCGGGTCAGCACAAGATTTTTTGGGAATCGCCCCACCCCACCCTTCCTCCCCCTCTTCTCTTCCTTCCCCTCCCCTTGGAGGCCCCCTGAGTCAGGAGTTGCTACCGCCGGCGCGGCTCCGGTCCCGCGTTGCCTGGGGAAGGGAAAGGCAAAAGGGAAGAGCCGCGGCGGTGCTTTGCAACGGGAGCAGCAGCACCGGAGGCTCAGGCTCAGTGGCTCCTGGTTTTGCCTTTTCCTTCCCAAGGCAACGCGGGACTGGAGCCGCGCGGAGCTGCGCCGGTGGTAGCAACTCCTGACAGCCCCAGCTGGACACCTGAGCGGAGCCCGGGCGGAACTGCCTGTTGCTGCTGCCGGAGCACCGCCGGGTCGCCTCCTCCAAGCAGCCCGCCCGCCGGGCTTCCCCTCCACCGCATGGCTCGGGGCCAGGCCCGAGCGCCCGTGAGTTAAAAGGAAGCCGGAAGTTGCTGGGAAGTTGCTCGGGTGCTGGGAGCAGGCTTTTAAAGTACCGCCCGAGCAAAGTTTAAGCAGCCTGCCCGCCAGGCGGAACCCTTCCCGCTCCTCGGCGGGAAGACGCTCCAGCCTGCAAACTTGGAAGTTTTGGAAGACGCTCCAGCCTGCAAACCAGCCTGGAAGCCCCGGAAAAAAAAGGGGGGGTCGGCGGGGACTCACCTTCGGAGAGGTCGCACTCGAAGGTGATTTCGAACTCCCAGCCGAGGCCTTTGTAAAGTTCTTTTCTTTCCTACCCCGAGAGCGCTCCGCACTGTTTTGCAGCTTTGGGGGCCACACGGCACAGGGCAATACGCCACGCCCAGTGATTTGTTTTCAGGGGCGGGCCGGATTGGACAGACCAACGGGCCGGATGTGGCCCGGGGGCTGTAGTTTGCCCACCCCTGTCTTAGATCAAGAACTGGATAATAGGAGGCACACATGCATTGACAACCTGGCATTCCTAGTTAAACAGGAGGAACATTGGTATAGGCAACTTCTCATGCTGCATTACTGAAGGGTTGACATAGCATTGCCTGAAATTCTATACAGCTGTTCAGCAGAAAAGAAAACTCATCCATTGGATTTGATCCTTCCTATGAACTTGAATTTAGCGGCTCATCTAAGCCTCAACCAAATGGTCTAGTAGAGGTATGCACAACTCATGCCCCAGATTTACAAGTAATCCACCCCCAAATAAGACTAAGACCACAATTTCTCCCCAGTTTTGACAAATACAATAATTGTTAATTTAGTATATAAAATTAAATACACAGAAATAATCATACTATAGCTTTGTTTAATTAACTATATTTAATTTCAATTAACTTCCAATTAAACCAAATTCAGTTTTGCATTTCATGCACCCATTTTTTTTTACCGTGCCCCTTTCCCTCCCACACTATGTTACTCAAAAAATGTGCAGCTTTCTGATCAAAAGAAAAGGTCCACATAAAGGAACCTTATTTGTACTGAAAGCAACCAAATGAACTTGAATTTAGCGGCTCATCTAAGCCTCAACCAAATGGTCTGATAAAAATGTATCTCTTTAAATGTTCTATGGGAATTTTGTTTGCAACTGTCACATTAGGTTTGATTACCTACTATAATTATGAGTTTATATGTTATTTCGGGTTTTTTTCCCCTTATCAGAATATTCTATTCCAAAACATACAATTTTTGTAGTTTTAGTAGATTTTCAATTGAACTCTGATAGATGAAAGAACAATATTTTTACTTTTGTGTATCCTAATAGTTTATAAATTTTATTACTGAATAAATAATAATGCAACAATGGAATTGTTGTGAAGAATGTATTTTTAAAGTAAAGGTCAGACTTTATGGGGTTGATTAAATTTGCAAGAACATGAACCTCATCGAGTCAGATCATTAATGGATCAAACTTTGGATCTCTATTTAGAAACACATTTTTTCTAAGGCTCACAGTAAACATAATGGAGCAAAATTTGTAATCAAATTTTAGCAAAAAACTAAGTACCAATATAAGCTAGAATTGCAAGACCTTTAGCAAAAGGGAATACAGTATTGATCTATTTTTAAACCAGGAAAACAATGTTCTAAACACACTCTATCAGTATATACTTATTCCCAGATGCATCTGTGCTGCAATTGTTCTACCATATTATTCCTAAACAATTTCTGAGATAGCAAGTCATTTATTGAATTTATTTCTGAATAGCCATATGTCAGGGAGTTAGGTAATCACTTCAATTTTCTTAATGCTAAACTGAAATATTTGACCCAGATATTCTTTTGGCATTTATGGTGAATAAAAACAGTTTTTGTAAAATGTCGGAATTGGAAGAATTTTTTTTATGGGGGATATGAAGACTTGTTCTGTCATCACTTTAATGTGCTTGGTAATCATAATAAGGACCAAGGTACGGAACCACAAGATTTATGTGGAGTTTTGTTTAAACTGAGCTTTTACTTGGTAGTTTTGGCACCAGAACATCCCCTATAAATCCTGCTACTTTGACAAATGCTCTGTGAAATGAGAAGCAGCTAACAGATCCATTTCCAAGGAAGTGGGCCAGGTTCTTCATGACTGAGACATCACCCAAGAATTAATCTTAATCCTAAAAAGACTATACTGGTTCAACTGGAAAATCTAAATATACCTAAGACCAGTTATATTTGATGGGAGACAGCAACTTAGAGGAAACGAGAGGGGTCAGAATCTTGAGTTATTTTGTTGAATTTAAAGAAAATCCAACTTACCTTTGTTCCTCTTCAAGCTCTTCTTTGGTCATCATTGTTTTATACTGGTTTCCTCTCAGTTTTCCAGGACTATATTTAAAAGAGAACTTTTCATCTGCTACAAGAGAATGAGAGAAAGAAGAGAAAGGCTATTTGCTATGGTGAAGTTATTAACATACTGAAACATGTTATTTTTAAAATCACATTCTGGTCAATCTCGTTCTTTTCCTCCTTTCCAGTTATGTTCATATATATTGTAGAATCTGGTCACTGAAAAGAATTGCTGGATCCTGCCAAATTACTTTGTTATTTAGGTGTGTTTGATTTATAAGGAGGATCCCCCCCCCCAATTTGGTTCAATGCTGAACCAGATTTGGGGATGTAGTAGTGCAGTGGTCCCCAACCTTTTTTATGCCGCGGCCCGGTACCGGCATCAGCTGGGCGCCGCCATCTTGTTTTGATGAAAAAGTGCTTCCAGTGAGCTCACTGGAAGCACTTTTTCATCAAAACAAAATGGCGGCGCCCAGCGCTTCCGGTGAGCTTTTCCAGTAGAAATGGCTTTCTACCCGGAAAAGCTCACCGGAAGCGCTGGGCGCCATCTTGTTTTGATGAAAAAGTGCTTCCGGTGAGCTTTCTACCCGGAAAAGCTCACCCGAAGCACTTTTTCATCAAAACAAGATGGCGGCACCCAGCAAACCAGCGGCCCGGTGGTTGGGGACCGGTGGTTGGGGACCCCTGTAGTAGTGGACAAGAGAAAGAACTGGAATTGTAGAAAGGTTCCCAATAATGAAAATTATTTGTATTAAAAACAGAGTATGTCCTGAATCATTGTATATATCATGATTACATAAATTGTAGCATGCATTACAATGTCTGAATCTAATTTCTGTATTAATATGGACCACTGTTAATGCTACTAGCTGGTCACAAATCGATGGAAATCATCCATTCTTCTTTTCCATCATCTGATAAGAACAGAATTTTTATGCTGTAGGTTGGAATTTTGCCCTTCATGTAATAACAACAAATTATGTTTCCTGATCCCCCTAAATTGCAAATCTGCTCTCATTTAAGTGTTATAATAAACCAAAACCCAGCCAGAGATTTTACCTCTTTTTTGTATTCTAAATCACTGCTTCACAGTAAGATTGGATTCAGTTATTATTATTTATTAGATTTATTTGCTGCTCCTCTGGACCTCGAGATGAAAACCCTAAAGCAAGGAGATGTAGCTGTACCTTTTTTAGTGGAAAGACAGTGGTGGTGAATGTCATTCTTAAAACTTTTATTTGCAACAACAGTGTTGATACCGTGATTGTCAAAGTGGTTCAGTGCTGTTTTCACCATTAGAGTCTGAATAATGTAGCTAATCTGAGTACATAAATATGCCATAACATTAGCAGCATTAATGACATAACTGTCAGCAATTTGCAACTCATTTGAAAAAATACAGAGCCATCAAATAGGATTTTGCTCCTAATCTAATAAGCTTTAGCAAGAAATGACATGTAATTTTCATGAAAGGTCCAAGCACTGTTGCCCTGGGATCACTAGGATGCAGATGGGAAGGAAGCACTTTGTGCAGTATTTACCCAGCACTTAGCAAGGTTATCTTGCCACAATATCTAGAAATTGTAGGGACCCTGGGAGCTGAAAGGAAAAAGCCAATTTTAACCATCCAAATTTAATTTGATGTTACGGTTGTGAGCATCAAGGTTTACACAGACAAAATGGCACCTTCTACACAGATGGTAATATCAGCAGACTTGGGAATAAGCCCAATGAAATATACTATTTTAAAAAAAAATTAAAAAGCCAACATTGGGCATATTCAAGTGCCATGAAAAACTAACTGTTGGGAGAGAAATGGGTGAGAAGACATGGAAGGCGGCATGGCTGATCTAGTGCGAACAAGAGCAAACACCATTCCTATCTTTTGTTGTACTGTAGGTCCCATATGCGTACATACAAAATGTACAGAGTGGACATTATGGTTATCCTATTAGGCATCGCCTCTTGAGAAGTTTATAATCTCTGGAGAAAATCGCTAATGCTAGGAAAGATATAAAGAAAGAAAGAAAAAGGATGATCAATTATAGCAGATAGATGTAGTGATGAATGGGATAGACATTTTTTTTTTTTAGAAGACCTGTCTATGTGGTAGCTAAGAGTTGATAGCAATTTGATGGCACTTAATCCCACTCTCATCACCTGGAAAGAGTGCAGAGAAGAGCAATAACAATGATTAAGGGACTGGAGGCTAAAACATACAGAGAACAGTTACAGCATTTGGGTATGTCTAGTCTAATGAAAAGAAGGACTAGGGAGGCATGATAGCAGTGTTTCAGTATTTGAGGAGCTCCTACAAATGAGGGGGATGGAGTGTCAAACTATTTTCCAAAGGACCAAAAAGCAAGACAAGAAACAATGGCTGGAAACTACCCTAGAGAAGAAGCAACCTAGTACTAAGGAGAAATTTCCTAATGGTGAGAGCAATCAAACAATAGAACAACTTGCCTTTAGTGGTTGTGGGTGCTCCATCACTGCAGGTTTTTAAAAAGAGACTGGACAATCATTTGTCTGAAATGGTATTGGGTCTCCTATTCAAGCAGGGGGCTGGACTAGAAGACCTCCAAGGTCCTTTCAACTCTATTATTCTATGTTCTATGTTCTAATTAGTCAACAAGTTCAGTCATCTGCAAGGCTGTACCATCTCACCCCAGATTGTCAGAATAAAGTTAGGATTTACTCTTTATTATTGACTATTTACCAAGTTTCTGATTCTCCTAGCAAAATTTTGTAGAATTTGATTCATATTAGACATCGTGAAAGTCCATTAATATGCCTCTTTATAGTAGGGTGTTAGGGTGTAAATAATACAATATGAGTAATTCCCATTGATTCTCATAGGCTTCAGTACTGAATTTACTTGGATTTTTATACTCTGTAAATGGCTTCCACAATTATTATTTTAATATCACTGTTCTACATTGTTTGAATTTCTAATTGGTAGCTTTGTTTAAGAATGCTGCAGAAATAGCAATAAGAAGTTTGTGGTGTCTTAAAAATAGGGGTGTGAAAAACATTCTGAGTTTGAGCTACCTCGTAGTACAAAACAGGCTGTTCCAACTTCACTGGAAGGGTTCCAATCTTAAAATAACTTTTAGAATAATGGTTAGTCAGAACACATCTAGTGAGACAGCAACAATTTGATTTGAGCTTAGAACAGAGCTGAAACATAATGGTACACCTGTCCTGAAAAACAAACTTTATTAGAGCATTATAGCCCATACAAATGGGGAACTACATATAAATATCCTATTGTGTAAACAAAGTGATTGTTAATTTGAGTTTAGGATTTAGTCCAGAACAACCAGCAATTTCTTAGCCTCTTTTTTTTGATGGCCTTTAGAGCTGAAGGACTACTGTGAAAGAAGATGGCTATAACTAGCAGTCAGCATGGGTTTGTTAAAAACAAATCATGCCAAACCAATCTTATTTTATTCTTCAACAAGTGACTGAATTAGTAGACACAATATACTTAGACTTCAGCAAGGCATTCAACAAAGTAGACCACAACCTTAGCCTCTTCTTAGCCTACTTCTTAGCTTACTTCTTGGTAAGCTAGAAAAAAGTGGGATAGATAACATCACCACCAGATGGATTCGCAACTGGCTGACAAACCGTACTCAACGAGTAGTCCATAATGGGTCTAAGTCCACATGAAGGGAAGTAAGCAGTGGGGGTGCCACAAGGTTCCATCTTAGGCCCAGTACTCCCCAATATCTTCATAAATGACTTAGATGAGGAAACAGAAGGGGAACTTACCAAATTTGCAGGTGATACTAAGCTGGTAAGAATAGCTAACTCCCTAGAACAGCGGTTGCCAACCGGTGGGCCACAGCCCACTGGTGGTCCGTGATAATATTTTGGTGGTCCGCAAAGAAATGCCACCCCAAAGCAACCTCCCAAAGCAATTAATCCAGGCTGCGGGAAACACAAGGTGGGCTGCCCACATGGCCCGCAGGAACACAAGGTTTCCATCGCTTGCATTAGGAACAACACGAGGTAGTGAGAGGAGGGGGGAAAGGGTGGAGGGAGAGAACTTGCCTGGCCACTGGGTTGCTTCTTCAGCTTCTTTCTTCTGTTTTTGGCTGCACACAAGGAAAGCAGCCAAAGTCTTTCTTTCTCTGCCCCAAACTCCACCAGAAATGAGTGTTTGGGACCCTGCAAGGCATCCTGCTCCAAGAGGCTGCACCAGCGAAGACTCATTTCTGGCGGAGTTTGAGGGAGAGAAAGAAAGACTTTGGTTGCTTTCCTTGTGTGCAGCCTGCAATGTATGGCTGTGAAAGTTGGACCAAAAATTGAGGCCTTTGAACTATGGTTCTGGAGAAGACTCCTGCAAGTCCCTTGACTGCAAGGCGATCAAACCGGTCAGTCCTACAGGAGATCAACCCTGACTGCTCTTTAGAAGGCCAAATCCTGAAGGTGAAACGCAAGATACTTTGGCCACCTAATGAGAAGGAAGGACTCACTGGAGAAGAGCCTAATGCTGGGAAAGATTGAGGGTAATAGAAGGAGGGGACAGCAGAGAATGAGGTGGCTGGATGGAGTCACTGAAGCAGTGAGCATGAGCTTAAATGGACTCCAGAAGATGGTAGAGGACAGGAAGGCATGGAGGAACATTGTCCATGGGGTCGCAATGCATTGGACATGACTTTGCGACTAACAACAACAACAAAAATGTCAGTTTCCCAATTGAAAGCATGGTTGAGTTTGTCCAGTGTTGTGAGATTAAAGAGTTTTTCATCATGTCTTCTGAATTTTAATTGATGTCCATGGATGCTTCATGCTAGTCCCCTCCTTATCTGTTCTACTAAGAGGATATTACAGTCTTTACCCTGTATGTTATAGATTACTCTTTTTTCTTCTTCTTGGAATACTGGATCTTTTGATTTCCTCAAGATGTTTTAGCGGCCTTTAACTTGGTTTGCGTGCTATGATTATGCCATGTGTTTGTAACAGTCTGCTGGTTGTTTCTGATATGTTTTTGATTTATGTCAGTGTTAACTTTTTCATAGCTTGTGTTGAGTGCACTGTAGTGGGCTGAATGGTCAGGCATTTTTGAAAGTTGCCTGAGTATCAATTTTGTTGGAAGATGTTGTATAGGTGGTCTATTATCTTTTTGTAGAGTTCCTGAAAGCAGGGATTAACATCAAACAAACAATCACGTAGAAACATTACCCTGATCAAGGAACTACCAGAGAAAATCATATCCCAGCAACACTGGCAGGGCAAGCTACTGCATATAAACAGGGATCAAAGTTTACAGACACCTGCATTGATATTGTTACCTAGTCAGCTAATGAAACATCTGCAAGCAAATAATCAGGCTCAAAGAATACCAGGGACTCCACAGAAGTGGAAAATTTTGGGAAACTGAAATTCTCACATCTGCAGGAGAGGGATCAATAGACCAATCAGCTCCCCAGTTCTGGAATCTACCATGAATGTGCTGAACTACTGAGTTCTGACTCTTCCCCCCGCCCCCCATTAAAGGTTGAGAAGGTGTAATTCAGTAAGTGTGGTTTTTCTTGGGAAAAGAACGTGCCTCAGTCGTACAGCAAATATTTTGCATGAATGGCTGAATATCCTGTTGTATTTGCCAAGTTATTAGAAAGGCTGGATTTCATACCAGACAATAGAAATGCCTTTGCTGAAAACCCTGGAATTAGCCAATGGAAACAATTCTGGGCCACATGATAAGCGATTGATTTCTTCCAAATGCCATATGGCTTCTTATCTCTTATTTAGAAAAATGACTTTTTCTTGCTACATACGAACACTTTCCTGGCTTGGAAATGAGAAATATTACATTGCTCCTATGTATCAGAACGAGAATTAAGATATATGAAGATGGTCAGTGAGCAATATGGCAATTTTTTCTTCTCTAAAAGATGGTCTTGCTATATGAACTGCAGCATATAGAGGAGGTTCCTCCTCCTCTATAAAACAGAATATGTGGATGAAGTGTTAGAACTGTAATCTGCCAATAGGTTTACAGTCGTAAAATATTGCAGGAAAATGGGGCAAGGAAGCATAGTTCCTGTCTGTATTCTTCCACCCTTTCAAGGGAAAAAAACCCCTACATTTACAATATAATAATTTACAATATAGTAATTTATCAATCTTTTCAGCTAGGACTTAGAAATCTGTTTCAAATGATTGGCTTGCCCTGGGGATTTTTGGTTCATAGCATAAAGCTTACTAACAGAATGTATCATTCTGCAAAGAGTTAAGTCCTCAGGGTAAGTTTATCTATACTGTATTGCTAACCACAATACTTTTAACGAAGTCACCAAGATTGTTTGTTCTGTTGGATGTGCCCTATTGGAGTTAGCAAACACATGGTTTGGGTCAGAAAGCCCTTGTACAAATTTCCTAAACTGAGCTTTCTGGCCCAAACCACAATTATTTGTTGTTTGTAGGAAACACAACTGAATGTATTTCAGTTGGCAAAATATCTTGAGTCAGCCCTAGAAATAACCTTGAACACTATCTCTCACTCTTACCTACAAGGCTGGAGATTATGATAAGAAAATTAGCAGCCTCTAGATGTAGCCTTCTGAACTCTGCAGAGAAAATATGTTTGGCTAGTGCAGCCTTCCTCAATGTGTGCGGGATGACAAATCTACAATTCCTAGCTAGAATAGCTATTGGCATCAGTTGGCCAAATTTACTACTTTATTATTATTACCTTTATTGTCAGAGTACAACATGTGTACAATGAGATTGGCTGAACCTCCCTTTGTGCAACCCCCCCCCCAACATAACTCACAGTGAGGACAGAAGTCCCTAACCCAGTCCCAATCTTATTACACTATGTGACCTTGTTGCACAATGCGCCTTTAGTCAAAACTTGCCCTAACAATTAGTTGAAGGACAAGTGAAGCTATTACTTTCCTTTACTTGTTCCACGTTAAAAGTGTAAGGAGAGCATCACTCTCTGATCTTTTCATTGAGGCAGGGTTGGAGTCAGCATCAAGGACTATGCAGTTTATGCCAGCATACTCCTCCACCAGATCAAGGGCTGGAGGAAGCACTTTAACATTTCTTTCAAGAAAAAAGTTTATAGTGTTGCATTTTTCTTAAGATTGAGAATGCATCTGCTCTTAAGTTCATATGACATAATTTAGGTCTAAGTATTAATACTTGTTTTTCTAGCAGTTTTTTCCCCTTATCATGCATTTTCTAAACGAATGGATGAATAAATGACAAAAAAATAACTCTTCTTTCAATTTTCATAAATAGTATTAAATATTAGGGCTTAAACTGACCTTGTTTGTGTTAATTGGGATCTCCCATGTCTAACAACGTTCCAGATATTTAAAAACCCAAAACTTACCATCTTCAGTCTCAGGTTCCTTTACTACTAGTTTCTCATTTTCTGATTCTTGATCTTCCTCCTGAAACAGAAACATTAAACATAAAACTATTGCTTAACTATTAGCAACAAAATCTCCCTGCAAACCAATCCAAACCATGTATATCAACTGAAATTATGGACAGAATTTTAGCTGGAACTCAGGAAAAGATACTATAATAATTCTTGCTTAAAGAAACTCTGAATTTGCCTATATTTCCCCCCAGATGTTCTTGTGGATTTGCAATATCTATTAGAATTTTTGTCCTTTTTGAACCCATCATCATTTTTTTCAAAACAAGAGGACTCTAAGGGTAAACATTTAGTTCTGTATCTGCACATACTTATTTTCACACATTTGTTGGCTGCAATGTACATTTTTTCTCTCAAATTGTCCTGCTTCCCATCTGTTGTTACTATATAAGACACATATCCACCTTTACTCTTAGATTCTTAATCCCACCTTTTCTACTATGGGTTGTTTTGACCAGCCTTTCCCACTTAAATGTATATACATTCCCATTCCCCACATAATACTGTACATATACTGTACTCACATGCTTCAGGAACTTAGGGTTACTTCCATTTTTTCCCTCAAGAATAACATTTTTTTAGATCACAGTAGCATTGTATCATGGAAGCATTGTGAACACTCAGCTGCTTGTGGGCATAAACTCAAGAAGCACTTCCTTATCAGAGGCAGGAAACTATGGCTCCTTTATGACCTGTGGACTTCAACTCCCAGAATTCCTGAGCCAGCCATGTCTCAAAAGAGGCATAAATTCTAATAGTCTGAGCCATGCTGGCTCAGGGATTCTGGGAGTTGAAGTCCACAGGTCTCAAAGGGGCCATAGGTATGTTGTGGTACACCAGCAGCCGGTGCAGACGGCAGTGGAATCGGATAGTGGGAAAGGGGGCCAGTCAGGGAGGCTGGAGAAGACTCGGACAAGGGTCCTGCGTCTGATGCAGGGATGGGGCCAAGACCATCTGGGAGTGAGGTGCTGCATTCAGAGCCTTTGGAGTCTGGCAGCAATGAAGCAGAGGACCCAGGGGAGCCTGTTCCAGTGCGCATGTGCGCAGAGCTGCTAGAAGGCGAGAGCAGCTGAAACAAAAGGGGCAAGTCGGGAGTAAGGCTGGGAGGTGATGGCCCCTCCCATAAGGGATAAAAGTGAGACCTCAATGAAGAAACCTTTGCAGGAAGCAAAGTAGTTCGATTGGTTACGAGTCATCCTTAAAGGGGTGTGCTTATCTTGGGGGACTGTTTAAGATTAGTTTTGGCTGGGAATGAAAACAATTCCCAGCACTGCAAAAAAATAGGTTTTGCTTTTAAAACACATTTATGATTAATTATGTTTGATGAAGCCTGGGTCAGAACAAGGTCCCCACCCCTGGTCTATACGGATAGGAAAGGCAGTGCATTAGAATCAGGCTGGGGTTCAAAACTCAAAGATCACTTTGTTAAAGCTGGTCACAATCTGGTCAGCTCTTGCACGAAAAGACCCCAGACAGCCCTTGTGTTATTTTTGGAATTCCGTAGAATAATTGTAAGCAAGCAATAATAATCTGATTAAGCCTTCTCCAACCTGTCCTCCTCCAGCTGTTTGGGTCCAAGCCTCTCAGAGCTGGAGCCAGCTAACAAGCTAGGCAATCAATAATACTTAATGCCTACTAAACTACTCCATTGGTTGGATTTGCTTGGCTCTAAACTACCATCACTAGATGCTTATTTATGCAACCTGAAAAAAATACTTTAAAATTATATGGCCATGATGAATAATTTCAAAAAGAATGAAATCAGAAAAGAAAAAGTCAGCTTTTGACCAACGTGAAAACTGAGGCCCTCTGCAATTTTGTACTTAGGCTGCAATGCACATTTACATTGATTTTTTTTTAAATTCCCTTTCTTGTTTTTGGTTATTCTGGTTATTTCACATTACACAGGGGCAAGATAGTTATGAAGGGAAGGGCCATAATTAGGGTTGGGTCAAATGAAGACTGCATGCTGAAGATGGAGAAGGTTTAATAACTGCCGGGAAATATTCTTCTCTGACTTTCTGGAATGTAGCAATAGTTTCTTTCCCTCATGGTATAAATCAACTTCCATCATCCTGTGAAGAGCTGGGTCTCTATTATGAAGCATCTCTTCCATCCCCTAGTTCAGTGATCAAAGATGATATGCCACAATGTTTTAGGTGACATGCCCTATTCACTAGCACCTGACAACTATTCTTGAAAGCATGCCCTTTTTTGAATGATTTTTGGAGGCTCTGGAGGCCGTGTGAGAATGGGGCATATTCTCATATGGCATCCAAGCCCTCTGGAACTCATACAAGACGGCTGCACAAAGAGCACAGGAGCACCCAAAAATCATGCAAGAACAGAGTTTGCTTTCATAGGGTGTTTGGAGGCTGCAGATGCCACAGAAGAGCATTCTCTGAAGCTGCTTCAAGAATGAAGTCCTTGTGCGACCCAGAGGAATCTTGGGTAGGCCTCAGGGGCCTGTCAACAGAAAGAGGACACCGTCTGAAGGTAAGTGGTACATGGCAGATCCTGGGGATCACACACGATTGGATTGATTTTTTAAAAAATAAATATGCAAAGAATTGTTTCTCTTTTGTTTGGCGATATGTGTGAGACATACCAGCAGAGTCAAGTTAGGCATTTTCTGAATTGTTGGTACATCAAGCAAAGAGGTTCACCATCACTGTCTTAGGAATTTCCAAGCCCGGAGAGATTTCTTCTTTCCTGTTTGATATCTATGGTTATTAGAGCAAGCAAATAAATGCACAAAAGTTCCTCAAGTATTGGGTAGTTTGAAGAAAAAAAGTAAAAGAGAAAGGGGAACAGAGCCCCTCAAGCTGATGTGGAACCGAGAAAGAAAAAGCAGAAATTATCTCTTTCCTTCCCCTTATTTGATTGATTATTTTAGATATGCCCCAAAACTATCAGGATAAGAAATATATTTTTGAGCTAGGTACAGCTTCATATATTTTTAAAGCTGAAGAGACTGTCTCTTTGTCCATAGTCATCCCTAAGAAATGAGAGCTATATGAGAACTATATAGGCATGAGAGGGAAACTAGATATCACAGAATTCTTTAGGGAATGCTTCAACCATTTTAATTCAAGGTGTATTTGCACATAGTCTGGCTCCAAATTTACAATTAGAGAGATGACTCTAGATAGTAGCATCTCAGTGCATCAATCTATTCATTTTTTTCATACTCAACACAAACACATAAGTAGGGGGATGTATGCACACATATGCATTCGCTTTTTCATTGATACTTAGGTGCCAGATTGCAAAATAATAAGGCAGCGTTGTATTTATTTTCCCTGTGACCATGGAAAAGAGCAAAACAGTCAGATTCCAGATGATGGGTGGGCCCACTTCTTTCTTAGAACCTTGAATTTCCCTGGTTGGATTCAGTGGTGGCTTGACAGCTTCCACCATTTCCTAGATTTGCACAGGAGGGTGTACACAGAGAGGGCCACCAGAGGAGACTGTCACTTCCAGTTAAGAGGACAAAATCAAAATGGAAAAGAAGCCAAGAGCAGAAGGGAAGAGCCCTAGGCTGTTATCAAGATGCGATAAAACAGACATATTCTTTGCACCAAATGTCTTGGGAATTTAAAAAGCAGTTTTATAAAAACCAGGGATTTCTACTGTTATTTCTAGCTCAGAAATCAGGGTAAAGGGTGTCCACCAGGGAAAAATGTATATTATTCACTAGCCTTCTTCATTGCAGTTTGCATTCAGTGCTCTTTAACTCACCCAACCTAGCATCACTACTACCTATACCAGGGGTAGTCAACCTTTTTATACCTACTGCCCACTTTTTTATCTCTGTTAGTAGTAAAATTTTCTCTAACCGCCCACCCATTCCAGAGTAATGGTGATTTATAAAGTAGGGGACAAAACCCCTACCGCCCACCATGAAAGCTGGAACGCCCACTAGTGGGCGGTAGGGACCAGGTTGACTACCACTGACCTATACAATCATATCTATTTTAATTAACATTTCCAAAAACAAGCTCCTTCTGCCTCTTCATTCACTTCTTATGAAGCCCATATTTGGGGAAAACAAAGTTGTGACCTACCCTGAGCATCCTTTGTTCAGAAGAGCTGCATTACAACTCCTATGGTTCCTCCTCACTATAGTCAATGCTTTTTCTGGGAGCAATCATTAGGGAGTGAGTCCACATTGGGAAATGTGGATTGCTTTATACCAGAGGTCTCCAAACTTGGCAACTTTTAAGACTTGTGGACTTCAACTCCCAGAATCCAGCTATGGAGAATTCTGGGAGTTGAAGTCCACAAGTTTTTAAAGTTGCCAAGTTTGGAATCCTCTGGTTTATACTGAGCTGAATTGACACTTCTGTCTGTAGTTTCTCTAGTTCAAGTCTACAGCTTTTCCATCCTTACCTGGAGATGGCAACAACTGATGGTGGGTTTCTGCATATTTAGAGCTAGAATGAAAATTGTCTTGGGAGAAGGTTCAGATGGGTCCTTGTTTTTATGCATACCTATTTATTATTTATTTATTTAGATAATGTATATGGCTGCCCACACACATTCAGTGGTTCTAGGTGGTTTACAAACAATAAAAACTTGGTATACAAAGGGTAAAAAAAAGTACCTAGGCCATGGAAAAAAGACCTCAAAATCACATTTTTTGATGTCTATTAATGGTATAATAAATATCATTTGCCTTATGCATTTGTAAAACTAATGGTCTTTTATTAATTTTGATGAGTTATGAAACTTTTAAAAAAGAAAATGGTTGGGCTAGCTAGCTGAACTAGCCATCCTTGTCTGGCAGGGCCATAAACAGAGCTTTATGGTTAATGGGTCTGTTATTAGAAGCCACCTAATAGGTATAATAAGAATTTGGGTTCACTAACTAAATTTGAACCCCTCTAACCCTTTCTGAGCATGTTGGTTCCAGCCGGTCCCCAAATGGATGCTAACACCTCAGTAGCCACATTGTTAAGCTTTTCTTTGTGGATTGAGCTTAGCAACATTCATATTGGATGCCTGAGT